TGTTAAAGGAAAATCCCCAAGCAACAGGGCAGAAAAACAAATATTATTGCACTCTAGCAAGCACCAGCAGAGCACTAGCCTGTGTCCAGCATTTTACTACAAGCCCCTCTTGTGAGATGCTCCTGCAAAGGTACTGCCCTGTGTTTATGCCTGCCTCGTGCTTCAAACTCAACAAGAAGAAATGATGTAAGTATCCCCAAGGAAAGGAAGCACAAAACTCTCAACACTCCACTACCCTGAAGCCACCTCTGTGGTGGATGTGGAGGCGCAGGCGTTCTAGCTCAGGCGTCAGGTAGACGATGCACTTGCTTTGTGAGGAGACGTGCAGTCCCGCTCTCACGGGCTCTCCTACATCACCTGTCAAGAGGACACAGATACAGGACACTGCAAAACTGCTCTGGCAGCTAGGAATCTCAGCAGGTTAAAGTAGGTAAAAGAGAGGAATGGAAGGAATGACTACCTTTTAATAGGTCTTATCCTCAGCCAGAATTTTCTAATTGCTACCTCTAAGTCCTTTTTGGCACACTTATTAATAGATATGGATGTTTTTGGCTTTTACTTAAATATATTATTTTGACAAAAAAGCAGTTGTGCTTCTCTTTCATCCAGTTTTTATTCTTTCTTCCCAAAAGGAAAAAACAGACCATTTTCTTAAAATCAATGTGTACATGAAACATTTATCATATGGGTGGGCCTAAACAAACATTCAACATATTTAACTCAAAAAGTGCTTTAAAGCTCACTATTTTCAGCAATAGTTTTAAAAATCAGATTGGTTTTCATCTACATTCCAATGGATACATAACTTTTTTCTCTAAGTTGAGATTAATACAAGTTGTAATTCCTACTTGTAACAGCTAAAAGCAAGTTACACTCAAAGGAGTATAACTAAGAAAAAATTTTCTTGGGGATAGAGGAAACACCTTTGAAAATATATTTCTTTATAAGGTTTTTCTTTCTAAAGCAAGTTAATTATAAACTTTTATGGTGATTGGGTACAGCTGAGTTTCACATCTGGAAGATTTTTCATATTGCAAACTTCAAAATCAGATGTGAACTTCTAGGTGATGTCTATTATTTTAATATGTAAGGAACAAGAAACTTTGCTTAAAAATAAAGATACTCATAGGGAATTCAGTTAATCCCATCCATTTCAGACAGTGTTTGTACATGATGTTTATGTTGGAAGAACTTGAACCTCTTGAAATAGGATAAAGTGTGACCCCCCTCCAGATAACATAATAAAGTTGAAGAAAGGGTGGAGAATCCACTTAAGTCCTGGCCCTGAAAGGGGGAGTGGTCACTGGCTACCCTTTCTCCTGCTAAGCTGTGGAAAGAGAAGACAGGCAGGGCACCCGGGCAATGCTGAGAAGGCTGCTGGGCATGTGGTGGCATGGGTTTCCAGTCCCTGCATCTGCCAGGCAAAAATATTCAGAATGTTGAAAAGCAGTTCAAATAGTAAGGGGATGCTGAGGAATGTTTAAGGATGGGTTAGCACTGTTTGAAATGTCCCCTAAATGCCCTGAGTAAACTGGGTTGCTAATGCAAATGAACAGTGTTGAGACTAGTATGAACCCCAAGTGGGAAGCTGTGACAGCTCTGCACACCCTGTGCCAGCCCACCCAAAGGCCTCTGCCATGCCTCCTCTGCTGTACTGGTTCACAAGAGTTAAACTACTCAAAATGGAAAACTAAATGGAAAGCTACTTCCTCCCTTTTCCTTGCTGTAGGTAATGTGAAATATGGATTCTCACCAGCCTAGGTCATAAGCTGCTGCCAGGCCCTCTGAAGCAAGAAGCCAAGATATCTCACCTTCATCGCAGCCTGCTATGATGGCGGCACTCTTAAATAGCTTGCTCTGTTAAAGATTGAAAATGCCCAAAAGCTGCCATCACAGGCTACACCTTATAATATCAGCATATCCTTCAGATGGCAAAAGGGACACTGCAGCCCAGTAATCAGTCACAGAGCCGCAAGTGCATCACAGGTGCAGCTCACAAAGACGCAGTAGAACCTGCCCAACCCACAATGATTACGGAAGAAACTCTTTCCCTCCCTGGCTCTGCCACTCCTGCCTCTTCAAAGATCTATGGCTGATGTCTTCCCAGAGAGGAAATTCTTGCTCCTTTTCCTTCTCCTCCCTACTGCACCGCCAGTGTGTCCCTTGGCAACAGGTTCTAATTCTGCAGGTCATGGGAGATAGAAAACAGAGGCACACTGTCACCAACACAGTGTTTTCCTCGTTTCCCCACAGACATTGTCCCTTCAAACAAACAAAAAATAGCTAATGCAGTGGGAAGCATGCTGTCCAAAAGCAGGCACCTCCATAAAAGCAGGACTTTGCCAACCCCTTCATTATGCCTTCTACTTTTGTTGCAATTTGCACAATATTTCTTTTCTTTCTTTTTTTTTTTTTTTTTTGGTGGAACCGGGGATTGAACTCAGGCCCTTAGGCTTACCAGGGAAGCACTTACTTCACTGAGCCATCTCCTTGGCCCTGCACAATATTTCATTTTTACCTAAGCTAAAGCAACATGTAGGCTTGAGCCAAAGGCAATTTCAATGACACAAGAGGCACTATTTTATTAGGAAGGCAGAGCTTAAAACACATACTAACTTCACAGTATTAGCTTCAGATGGGAATCAGGCACAGTTCCTTATAAACCAACCAAATTCTCCCTTTTCCAGTGTAATTTGAGAGTTGCAGCAATCTTTTCCTTCATTTCCCACTCTCAACCCTGCGAGGAACCCAGGAGCTGATCAGAGTACTATGGACCCTTGTCCACAGGGAGATGAAACTAAACAGTATGGTAAGTACAGTGAAGGAGAACATTCAGATGCTACCGGGAGCACCAGTAGGGGGACTGATCACTCTGGATTTACATTAAATCAAACAGACTACATGGAATCAAATATTGGTTAAGAGTTTCCTGCAGCTCAGTCTTTCATTTCAATACAGAAAGCCAAACTTGCAGGCTTTCTTCTGTTTAAAATACTTGAACATGTTCAGCATTGCATCTCACTGTGAGATGGCATTAAGAACAGGTGGGTCTCTGTCTGATGTTGAAATCATCCAGTAACTGTTAAGGCAAAAAAATCTGACTTGGTCACAATCAGAGGCATGTAATGCCAATGGTCAGAACATACAATAATAAAAGAGGGCTGGTAAAAAAGTTTTTTAAAAGGTAGCACTCGGGGCCAGGGAAATGGCTCAGTGGAATAAGTGCTTCCCTGGCAAGCGCAAAGGACTGAGTTCAATCCCCGGTTCCACCAAAAAAAAAAAAAAAAAAAAAGGTAGCACTGGCCAAACCCTTGAAGGAAGATAAATTCTCTGAAGGAGACAGAATTTCACAAGAGCCAGGAAATCTGAAAAGAAAGTCACCTGGCTACCACAGGCTTCATGCAGAATCCCTAGCCGCAGTGGACAGCTCAGAAAGAGAGGGAGCACGGCAACAGAAGTAATGCTGAGAAAGTTTGTTGCCTACATAGCGGCTGGGGAAGTGGGAGAAGATGAGGATGTGGCATGAGCAGGCTAAGCTCACTGAAGGCCTTGAAAGTGGGTGAAAAGAATTAAAGTTGGCATCAGAGACCCTCCATTCATATGAAATGTCCACAATAAGCTAATCTACAGAAACAGAAAGTGAGCAGTTGGCTGATCAGGACTTGGGAGCTGGGGAGGAAGGAAGAATAACTTCTAAGAAGTGCAGTGTTTTGTGGAATATGAACAATGTTTCAAGATCAGACTGTGCTGATAGGTACATACTTTTGAACCTATTAAAAACCATCCAATGGCTTAAATGGGTGAATAATGTAGTATGTGAATTGTACATTGAGAAAGTAATTGAAACAAAAACCCCACTGAGGAGTTTGAGCTCAGTAAAAATTGAGGGAAGAAGCTGCCTTCCCTAACCAGGGGAGTCACAGCTCCCTCCAAGGTGCTCTGGTGTCATCTCCTGAGTCCTAACAGGATGGACCCAGTCTTTCAAATTACAGTGGAAATAAACTACAGATGGCTTAAGAAAACAAGGAGCTCAAATGCCATTCCATCTGGTTATACATTAATATGCAAAAAGAGTTCAGTCCGTAATAAAATTTAGATATTCCTCAAAGAAATAAGTGCACAACTCAGCAAAAGAAGAGATATTAACTGCTCAGAAGAGCCCTATGAAATCCAAACAGAACAGCAAGGGCCTAAACAGACCCCTCCAGGGTGCAGAACAGCTCTGCTATCTGAAAGGCACCATGCTGGAAACCAGAGATGTACAGATACTTCAGCCCCCAAGGAGAAACCTATGGGCAGTCAGTCTGGGACGGGATAGAAAACTAATGGCTCTTAAATTCCCAGGGCCTACTAACTACATTAATCAAAGTCCTCATTTCTAGGGAAGGAAAGAAGTATGCAAAAAAAAAAAAAAAAAAAAAAATCAAACATTGCTCAGACTACCTGGGACTAGTGTCTCCCAAGCATCAATTCAGAAGAAACACATTCATTTTGTGGGTGGGGTACGTGGGCAATCAGAGAAGTCTTCCTTAGAAAATCTTGGCCTCAATACAGTGGCTAGACTCCATAATAAGAAACTAAAGAACACATGCCCTAACTGCTGCTGGGAAAGGAGCTGACCTTGAGGCCAGGCAGGGAGACTTCTTTACACTCAGAGATTTCACTGCCCTGCTATGTGCCCTAGGGGTACCCCATGCCCAGCAACTGGAACGGACTGGTCAGCAGAAAGGAATTTTGTAACTTCACAGGCCAGATCTGATCTGGAATTCTTTTTTTAAAACCACATGAGCCTAATGTAATAAAACAAACATCAAGGAATGTAAAAGCTGATGCTTCAGTTCTCAGCCACACATGGCCCCAGAGCTGTGTTGCAAAGTACAGGGCAGGCCCTGGCAGATAGACCTTCACAGAAAACGCTAACAACCTCTTAAGAAGTGCCTGGCGAGTGCTCCAGTTGATGTGCATCGAGCCATTACAATACCGAGCAATGTGCTTCTTACCTATAATTCCACTGTCCTTGCTTTCCAGGGTGGAACTAGGGCTGCTAATGGTCTCACAGGGACTTTTGTTGGCTGCCGTCTTGCTGACACAGCTATTCAAGGTTGAGCAGGGGCTATCGGTGCTAGGAGATGCGGTGCTGCTTGTTAGTGTGGAGCAAGGGCTGATGCCTTGGCTCAGAGCTGTGCACTGCAAGACGAACGGAAGGAGGCATTAGCGTGGCTTACACAAGGTACTTCAACACACACTTTGGTTTTTGATTCTCAAATAGAACTAGAAACAGGAACATGGAAGGCAGTTTTTAAACACTGAGGAGAACACAGACAGGCCTAGATACAGTATGAATATACTTGTGGTCTCCCAAATACTAACAGAGAAGTGTCTTTGTTAAGCTCCCCTCCTTTGTGATTTTCTTTTTGGTTAAGAGGGCAATCTTAGCAATAATTTATTGGGAACGCACATTTATAAAGCAGAAATGGCAAAACAGGCAGACTTCCTCTCATTTGAAGTCTGCAGCAGACAAATGGGTTATTTGACCTCTGTACTGAAAAAGCTGGGGACTCTGTTTTTGCAGCGTTTCATGAGCACAGCAGCTTGATTCAATTCCTGAAGATTTATGGGCTCTGTGACCAGGAAAGGAGACTGGAGACCACTGCAGTCTCAATCAACACATAGCACCTCCCTCGCAGCACCTCAGAGACCCTCACGGAAGGCTGCAGCTCCGGCCCTCATTGCTATTCACATGCACACATCTCCAAGTAGAGCTGTGGCTACTGCTCCCTGCACAGGCAGCGCCCTCCCTAGGGAGGAGCCATCGAATCTCATCTCATTTCATCTCCGTTCCATGTCCTATAAATCTGTTCTTCACCTCACTGACCCTCCAAAATCTGAACAACTGCACCAAAGCAGCTAGATGGAAAGAATGGCACCATAAAGATAAAAAGTGGTATTATTCTAGTGGAATTCTTTTCACCACATCAATACATACAGCTACTCTTCTCTGGGAAGTGAGTAATGTGGACCTTTTCCTAAGTTTTGCCCCCTCTGCTTCTCACACCCCCACCTGGCCCTGTAAAAACCTTAGCAACAAACTGTTGCAAGAAATTTCAATACACAACTGCCCAAAGTTCATTTGAACTAACAATGGTTTCCCTCTTCAAGGATTGGGTAAAATTCGTTATTGCTCCATTCATCCTCTAGGCAGATAGGAAATGTAGTGTCTTCCTCAGGCATTACCATGGTTTCATTTTTGTCTTCAATGGTTATATGTGTGGCACTTGGGATCCCTTCTCCCAGTAAAAATCCCAGCCTTGTCAACAGTTCTTGAGCTGCCGGCGAACAGCTCGGTTCATTATCAGCCTTTGCTTCTGGAACAAAGAAAGAAAACAATAAGGATGCCTCTCCGGGGAATTTCAGCATCACATCTGGATGAATTCACACTACAGCTGCTTGTCTGGCACTTTCGTGTATTTTTATAAAATGCACCAAGTTTGACAATGCTGCTTTGTCCTCTAGCAGTGCATTCTAATTAAGAGACTATGACAGGTTAAGAAAATAGCAACACAGAAACTCCAAGTGCAAAAGGTGAAATATTTGACCTGAACCAGAAGAGTCCGGTGTCCTTATCTGATAGAAATTCCTATTCCCATATCATGGGAAAAATGGGTACTTCAGACACACCTTTGAGTAAGAAAAGCATCTTACCCTTACAGAGCACAGTGTGATCAATGCCAGAGGAAGCCAAAATAATGCAAAACCCAAGTGGCGTGGTGGCAGAGGCCCAGGCTAAATAGATGTTGGAATGAAACTGAGAGCCAAGTTCCCATTAAATAAGACACGGCAGGAGGATTTCGGACAAAAACTTGCTATATGCGTATTCCATAGCACCGGAAGTCATACGTAGGATTCCATCTCAAACACCAATCAGTGACAATCTACACTGAAATGATTTTTTTTTTTTTTAATCCTGGTAAAATATGTCTTCAGAGACTGGTAATGCACTGTTATCTACGGAGAAACATAGAAAAACCAATCTGAATTCTTCGAATGCTCCACAGATATGCTGGGCAGTATGGCCTTTCTTGAGTTCTCTCTATGGTTGGTCATTTGGTACTTTGTACTTAAAAGAATTTCGTTACTAGATTGATTTAAATGTTGAGTTAGAGCTTAGCCTGTAACCAAAAGCCTAAATATACTTAATTATGCTTGACAAGTAAAATATAAACATCATTTAAACACTCCGTTACATCTAAATCAGCACCATCAAGATGAAATAATATACAAAGCAAACTTTGCTTCTAAAAGTTGAAATTTAATAATATGCAACCTAAAATATTGCTGTTTGTGCTAATTATCTAGATTCCTAGGCCCATAAATAATAAACCTAATTTCCCTAGATACAGAAATCTACAGATAAGGGCAGAGGTCTTAAAAAAAATAAAATGAGGAAAGAACACCATGATGCTACCACTGAGCTGCAGTATCACCAACAAAGCTCAATGCTAACTTTGCCTTTTGTAAGAATGACAAATTCACATTAAGCAGAGCTTTGGAGAAGATCATCTGGATTATCCTTGTTCACATGCATAATCAATTTAGCTACAACATGCACCCAAAATAGTGGCTACAAGGCAAACCAGGCTAGCAGATCTTCAGGAAAGAAAGGCACCTGCCACTTGCTTGCTCTCAAAGTTTCTCATGGTTGGGGCAGGAGGAAAGCTGTTTCCAGCTTGGGTATTTTTAGTTCCTCTAAAAAACTACAGTAGTGAAGTTACTGAGGCTTGATTATTCTGGGTCAAGAGCGTCTGATGTTCTGGGATCACTGGGGTTAAATTCAGAAGGTTCAGCGGCCCTATGCCAAGGGTAAGGGAGCCACCCCAGGGCAAGCGGGCCACACCTCTAGTGCTGCTCCACAGACAGTCCCTTCCCACCAGAGACTTCAAAAACCAGTTAGATTCTCAAGTAGATGGGCACCTGGGAAAGGAAGGTAGGCAACAAACCACATCAACACAACCCAGGCACACCCGAGGGCTGAACCACTCAGAACAGGATCTGTGCTTCCCTCCCTTTACCTCTCGCCCCTCCCCTGCCCCAAGGCTCAGGCAGGGCAGCTGCTTTATCTTAGGAGGCAGCTGGACTCGAGAGGGAAGGGCACAGGAGGCAGAGGAAAAGGGGCAGAAGTGGGTGGGAGAGCAGATCTCAGGAGTTGCTCTATTCCACGCCCCCCTTTCCTGTCGAAACAATCACACTGCTGCCCAACTGCAACTGTGCCCCAGAAAGTGTAGCTTCTGGTTCAACCAGAAACACCCTGGGGAGAGAGCCAGAAAATACTCCCAGTTGGCAGCTGCTGGGGAGGCAAGCACAGCTGCACAGGCTTGGCTGCCACAAAATGTACCCAACATCAAACAAGGCCAAAGCTTATGGCTCACTTGGGACTTATTTTGAAATCCCCAGATGCTGTGAGTTCCCTTGTGAGGAGAGGGACGTCACCACCTGGAGCAGCTGCACTGCCACCTTGAAACGACTATACAAATCCTCCCCGTTTCCATGAGTCAGGGCAGTTCCAGGATTAATGGCTGAGCCGAAGAGAGACACCCAAGCGTCTCGGGGCGTGAGGGGCAGGGGTCTGGATACAAGGTCTCACTATGTAGTTCAGATGCCCTTGAACTTACCATGTAGCCTGGGCTGGCCTCAAACATGCCTTGATCCTCCTGCCTTAGCCTCCCAATGCTGGGATTGCAGGTTTGTGATACCATACTCAGCTTAACTCTCTTTTTACATTATTCTCTCTTCTAAAATGCCATCCTAATGATCTTCTCCTCAAAAAGTTCCATTTAGGGACTGCGAGATAGTTCACTGGAGTAAGTGCCTGCTTAGGCAAGTGCAGGGACCAGGTTTGATCCCTGGCACCACATGCTGTGCTGATGCGCTGAGCTGGCCACTGAGACTGGGTGTGGTGGCACGTGCCTGTAATCCCAGCATTGGAGAGGCTGAAAACAGAAGGATCACTACTGGTCCAAGCTGTATAGTGAGACCCTGTACCAAATACATTTAAAAAAAAAAGTTCCATTTAATCTGACTTTCTTAGTCTACATCAAGCCACCTGTGTCTGTCCTTCCCTCATGCACAGAGCCTTCTGTCAATGAACTTTCCATTCTGGCACAAGGACCTCTATACAGGGGAAGAGTGGTGGTATCATCCTGGGAGAAATGAGCTGCCTGGAATTCACCTGGAAGGGTACAAATCCCTGTGAAATGGAAATATACTCACTTCCACAGCTGTTCAGCTAACACTACGCTTTGAGCAAGGAGATGTGAATTACCACTGCAAAATAATCTCTGAACTAAATTATACTGGGCTACTTTAATGTAGAGTCTACTCTCACTCATGGTGCTAATACGAAATCATTCAGCAACAAGGGGCCTGCTTCACCCAGTAGCTGAGGAAATAATACAACCAGAGATAAGGAAAACTTCATGTCACTTTGGATCTCACAGATCTAAATAGCCAAGGTGTTTGTGAAGGCTGTTTGGAGCTAAGAGTAACTGGCCTTGCACTTCCTAGGAATCCAGTAGTGAACGTGATATCCCTCCCAGTAGCACGTTCACAGGATCCTCAGAATCACACTGTGGGGGAAAGCTCACCCATGCACAAAGGTAAAGGCAAGTTCTCTGGTCACTTCCTGCCTTCCGCACTTATACAGGCTACTAAACAATGGGGCACAAACACCAAAGAGTCACTCATGAACTGCTTGGCTTCCAAGTTGTTGCCATGATCTTCAAACAGTCAGTGCTTTTTGTAGTCCTCCTCTCACACTTCCCTCCCACCTCAGAAGACAGGATGCTATTCACGCTAAAGCAACTTTGGCCCAGTCCTGCGCTGCTCAGATGCTGAGGCTCAGTCTCATCAGCGAAGTGGCCATATCCACTTCCCACAGGTTGTAAGCAATACACAAGAAACACGAGACAAGCCACAAGACAAGAGAAAGGCTGGCTGTTATCTCTATCAGCTTTAATACTAAAAGTCCATACTTCCTCACTGTTGTTTCATTTTCTGGTTTTACAAGTTCATTTATATTTTCAAATATGTTTATATGTCTCTTACCTAAAAATACAGCTGTTTATAATTACTATGCCCCAGATTTTTATGGACTCATTATTCAAAGACAACAAAATTTCTTTTTGCGTGGGGATGCATCTGGTGGGCAGTGCTAGAGATTAATCCCAGAGCCTCCCCTCATGGTTGGCAAAGTGCTACCACTGAGCTACATTACTAGACCAACAAATCCATTCCTGCTGTTGATTATGGAGGCCCCAAGTTGGCCTGTGCTCACTGCTTCATTTCCCATTTAATCATCCCTCTGGAGACAGCTGCACTGGGAAGTGAACCTAAGCTTTGGCACTAAGCTACATCCCCAGTTTTTTTAAAAGTTATTTTTACTTTTAAGACACAACCTTAGTAAGTTGCTAAATTGCCCATGCCAGGCTCAAACTCAAAATGCTCCTGCCTCATGGGATTACAGATGTATATGTCACTGCACCTGGCTCACTCTTTCTTCACAAAGTCAAACTCTGTTAGAACTGTGGGGTCCTGAGGGTCACATGGGATCACTCCCTAAAGACTCTTCACTTAATGCTCCTTGCATTCTATGGTGTGCTGGACATCATCAACAACATCAGCCATCCCTTGGCGATCTGATCTCTGACAACTGACTTCATACCAAGTTTCCAAAATAGTACTTCTTTCCTTTCTTTTTCTCCTTTAAAGATTTATTTATTTATTTGGTACAGGGTCTCGCTATGCATCTCGGACTCATAGTGATCCTCCTGTCTCAGCCTTCCCTGCTGGGATTACAGCTGTGTGCCACCATGCCCATTTTCGGTGGCCAGCACAGCATGGCACACAGTACTGGGGATTGAACCTGGAAGCTTGTGCTTGCCCAGCCAAGTGCTTAGATCGCTGAGCTAGCTCCCAAAACATCAAGTCTGTTCAATGACACAGACCATGAACTTGATAGTAAGCCTTTTCATCTGAGCCTAGTCTCTGCCCATCCGTGTTCTGCCTCTTCCTTTACCTCTTGTCATCCTTGATTCCCAAATATGAAGCATTTTCCTGCTTCTTTCTGGCTCTTTCTTCTGAGCCATCACCAATTCTCCCCACCCCCAGATGTTCAAAAGAAGTATTTAGAGTAGAGCATCAATTAATAAACCTTCTGTTTCTGTTAAGAATTTGTTAACTTCTAGGCTATAATAGTAGTTTTAAAACACAAGTTTTAAACTTTCATCTCATTTACCCCATACTGAAATTGCTACCAAACTATACCATTCCTTCTTTCAAAGTACCTACATTAGCTTTTTCTCTTCAATTG